TCTATTCTATTCTATTCTATTCTATTCTATTCTATTCTATTCTATTCCTTTCCTTTGTTGACAATAACTTTGAACGTACACTAATCAGCCTACATCAGAATGAAATTTCATTGCGTTTAGTTCCCAAAGACTCACCATCTATATATGTGCATCATCTGCTCTTGCTATCCCAGGTTATGTGACTTTCCATTTCACGTTAAGAAAAATGCTTCCAAAATTGCAATTTTTTCCAGACTTTAAAGCTATCCTTTACGTTATTTTTAACGTTCCATCATACCACTAACAATGCTTTTGGTTAATACGTCACCTGATACTTTCACCGGCAGAAGGAAAAAATAAAAATGAAATAAAAGTCCAAATTCCCTTTTTTCCTCCTCCTTTAAATTGACCAAATGGCACCTATTTGCCTGCAGCGATAAAGCAGACAGTGCTAAAGAGAGGTAAATCAATAGAAGGAAAGGGAGAGGTTGGGTTTTCCACAGCAACTTGGACAGGGGAGAAGGCTGACTTTATTGATTTTAGCTCGTTCGGCTGGCCTTGTAATTAAAATGTAAATTTGAGAAAGAGATTATGTCCTGATAGAAATGGTGGGATTAGGGGGGAAGATAAAAAACTCCTTGGATAAAAAAACACAAACAAAAAAAAAAAAATCCAGAGAAGATAGAAGAGCAGACTTCATCAGGATTTAGTGGAACGGAGAGAAACGCACACCAAGCAAGAACATAAATTATAAAAAAATAAAAACTTTTTGGAGAACGGGTTTGCTTCCTACCAGCCTTCCCGTACACAGGCCCAATCCGTTTAATCTACAAAAAAATGTGGATTAATATGAGCTAAAATCCCAAGAATTTAGGCAGGAGAATTGCCTTCTGCTCCACGCAACAGGAACAAAATGGTTGTGTGAAGGCACACCACCATTCTGTGTGACAAGCTGAATTTCATCTGAATCTGATGTAAAAATGCACAAATGTGCTTTGGATCCCGTTTGGGCACCTGATTTTTTTTTTTTTTTGATATATTTCCCAATTTTTTAAAAAATATTTTTTTAGAATATATTCTTCTAATATCATTCCTTAAATCTTTAGCCTATCACTGCGCCTTTATCTGTCAGCATCGTTTCATTCTGTGCTTTTTACTGGAACTGCCAGCCTCATTTTGGTTCAAATATACTCTTCTACAAATAACTTCTCTTAGTTTTTAAGCGTTTCGTTAAAGTTTATTATAAGGTAGAATAAAAGAGAAGCAAAAACCGAGAAAGTTAAAGAGAAAAGAAGTGCAAAAAGAAGAGAAAAGGGGGTGGGGGAAGTTGTGACTTCCAGTTTTTTCAGTACAGTGCAGTAGAATACAAACAAATGCCTGTAGGGGTTCTCAGTCCTTCAGGTCACGGTTGTCCCAAAAGTGCTTTTTTCAGGAAGCAACTGGACTTTCCTGTTTTGTCTTTGAAGATGTTTTGCTTCTCATCCAAGAAGCTTCTTCAGTTCCTCTTCTTCAGAGCTGAAGAAGCTTCTTGGATGAGAAGTGAAACATCTTCAAAGAAAAACCCAGAAAGTCTAGTTGCTTCCCGAAAAAAAAAAAAAAGGACCTTTGGGACAATACAAACCAACCTTTTTGCTTTAAATTTCTAAATATTTCAACTCATTTCTACCACCACAAAAAAAAACCCTTGTAGTCATCGAAACCTACAATTAAAAGTTCCAAGGAAGTTCCAAATTTTTCTTTCAAGGTCTTTTATCGGCCAAATTTAGAATAAGTTCCGATTGCAATCAAAGGGCCCGTTTCTCCATAAAATTGGACTCTTTTGCTGGGAATTTGGAGTGCAAAAAAAATCCATTGGTGACCAGGTGCTAGTGTAAATAAGGATTATACAAATGAGGGGTCATTAAAAAAGGCTGGTAATGTTAATTTGGCATGACACCCCTTAATGGGTTATGTCTTCACACTTCAGTTGTCTAATCACGGAAATTCTTTGGCAAATTTGCATTCCATCTTGCCCACAGAAAATCAAATTGGCTCTCACTTCTATCCCAAAACTCATTTCTTGCCCTAATGGCAGTCAGGGTGTACTTTTTTTTTGCAGCTGTGAGATTAATTAAAAACTACTCTGCTGTTTCTGGATGGTAACTGTTTGGTTATAGAGCGGAGACCTGGTGTACAAAGAAAAGAAAAATTGGTAAGCCATGAAACAGAAGGTTCTAAAATTTTAGGGATAAAATGGAAATTGGACAATTCAGTGCTTCTTCCCTATCTCAGTGCTTGCTGTGAAAAGGCATTCAAGTAGCAGTTGAACTTTGGCGGGTTTTTTTATATCAGGATGCAAAAGGCTTAGGAATTGCCCACTTTATACGAGCGTGGGTTTCAGAGCGGAATGCTTTAATTAAAAGCAAATTAATTTTAATTCCAAGATAAGCAGTTTATAATTTGCTGTTAACCAGCATGCAAATTCAAAGCAACGTGGACAATTTTGCGTAGGGGTATTTCCTGAAAATGCTTCGTAAACAGATCACTTGGGCATCCAATTCAATCGATCGATCGATCAATCAACCAGAATGCAGCTGGAAGGGACCTGGAGAGGTCTTCTAGTCCAACCTGCTGCTCATGCAGGAGACCCTATACAATTTGAGACAAGTGGCTGTCCAGTCTCTTCTTAAAAACCTCCACCCACAACTTCTGGAGGCAACTTCTATTTCACTGATTAATTGTTCTAATTGTCAGGAAATTTCTAGGTTGAATCTCTCCCTGCTTAGTTCCCCTCCATGGTTTCTTGTCCTGCCTTCAGGTGTTTTGGAGAATAATTTGACCCCACTCTTCTTTGTGGCAGCCCCTCAAATACTGGAAGACTGCGATCCTGTCCTCCCCTGGTCCTTCTTTTCGTTAAACTAGCCATGCCCAGTTTTTGCAACGGTTCTTCATATGAATCAAGTTAATTCATATCTGGATACCACAGCTCTGCAGATGGACAATGAGGTATTTTTGAAGCAGATGAGGGAATTGGCACCTGGATAGGTTTCCTTAATTGAAAATACATCATATGTCAATTGCACAGGGCAGGTGTGCAAACCCAGGTGTTTTTTTTAAAAGATGTTTTAGAGAATTACAGATGTTCTTCCTTTTTGAATTTGAACACCTGTTAAAATCTACAATTCTTCTTTACTTTTACTTCTTTAGACTTTCGACTTTCGACTTTCACTTAGAAGACAGTTTGCAACACCAATTGAAAATACAGGTAGCAACAGAAGAGAAAATGCTACCCAAAATATATAATTTTCTTTTGAATTTCAACATGGAAGAAGAAATTGTAAAGGAAACAACGAGTTTGGGCAAAAAATCTGGGATATAACATTGAATTAGAATATTGCGAAAAATGTGGGGGAAAAAATTATAACTAACTCTATCAGCAGTGCATAGAGAAAACATATACAAAATGTTTTACAGATGGTACCTATCCCCCGCCAGATTGGCAAAGTTGTTTCCAAGTAGAAGCCCAAACTGTTGGAAATGTAAAAATAAACAGGGCACCTTCTTCCACATGTGGTGGACATGCTTGGAACCCCCAAAAATATTGGAGTAGAATTCATAAGTGGATGGAGGAAATAATGAGGAAAAAAATCAAAGTCAGACCGGAACCGTTCTTATTAGGAATATTAAGGGGAAGTCATGCTAAAACAGATGCGTATATTATTTTACATATAATAACAGCAACTAGGATTGTATATGCACAGTCCTGGAAGCAAGAGAATATACCAGCTGAACTGAAGGGACAGTGATAAGAAAGATCCTGGACTTTGCAGCAAAAATCTGATCCAAAAGGTTGGCTACACCTGGGCTAGACAATAGATATAAAAGTAATATAGCAATTGATATATGAACATGAATGATGATGCTGTAACGTTGTTGTAAATACGTTTTTAAACTGTTGGAAATGTCTAATAAAAATTATACATACATACACACACACACACACACACACACACACACTATAATATAACAGGTAGCCCTTGACTTATGACAATCATTGAGCCCAAAATTTGATACTGAGACATTTCTTAAGTGAGTTTTGCCAATCATGCTACCGTTGTTCAGCGAATCACTGCATTTGTTAGGACACTGTTACATCATAAATATGAGACAGTTGCCAAGCCTCTGAATGTTGATCTAAAAATAAGTCACTTTTTTCCAGAGGGATCGTTGTCAACTAAAAAGATACCCTTTTTAGCGGCCAACAGAAAGAGAGTGGGGGAAAATAGTGCATTCCTCAAGTGCCCAGATAATCGCCCTGGCAGCCTAAAGTTGTCAGTGAACAAAAATATTACCAGAGAGCCTGATTGATGATTCTTGGCTATGGAGGTGTCCCATTGGAGAATATACATCCAGGGGGTGGGAGGAAGACCAGGGTCAAGGGGGAAATGAATGATGTATTTTAGTGTCGGCTGCACTCAGCTAACGCCATCATGGCCGCTCCTAATAAATCTTTTTTTTTTTTTTACTCTGAGCGATGTGGCTAGAGACTTATGATTTGAATGAGGCTGGATTTGTCGGAGCCCTGACAGTCGTAACTTTGAACGGCCATGAAGTGAAAGACTGCAAGTGGAGAACTACTTGTAAAAGGTCTGAGGGCCACGAGGGAAAAAAATATGTTTAATTGACGGCGAATGTAGACATTTTATTACGGATGGGAAAAGGAGAAAGCCAGGAGTAGCAGCACCCAGGAATCCGTCGGAGCCATTTTTTAAACTGATTTATGAGCTGATCATTTCTTACAGAGCGCAGTAGATCGAGTGAGATCCTAACAAAACTCTCAAGAGCCGGGGGAAAAAAAAAAAAAAGACCGAAGAAGGGTGACAATAAAGATTTACCCGGGTTGCAAAGCTCTAAATGCCATGGTAAAATTAAGGCTGCAAGTTTTAATTGAATAATTGGTGTCGTTAATCAAAGGGAGCTTTAAGGCAGGCTTAAAAATGTCCCCCCGATTAATCAGCGGGGCTGGAAATAAATAAAGATGGCAGATTGCTGCTGGATAGACTAGAATCCACGGGGACACGATACGCTTCGCCTCAGCAAAAAAGAAGTTGCTAGAAAAATATAACAACTGAGGTAAGACTTTTCTCTAAAACCCAGTACAATTCCCTTTTCTGCATTTCCAAAGCAAAAAAATTGCAGGCGATTCACTCTGCTTAACGAAGGTGAGCGGTTCTCCAAAGATCAGGCAGTCCTCAAACTTACAACAGCTCATTTAGCGACTGTTCAAAATTACGTCATTGAAAAAAGAGATCTACTAGTCCAGCCCCCTGCTCAAGCAAGAGAACGTATACCTGTGATGGCAAACCTATGGCATGCATGCCACAGGTGACATGCAGAGCCATCTGTGCGGGCACGCAAGCCCAAGCCAAACTTACCTGCACTGTGCATGCGCGCGGCCTCCCAGCTGATTTTTGGCTCATTTCAGGCCTTTTTCGTCCTCCCGGAGGCTCGAGGGAAGCCTCTGCAGCCTCGGGAGGCCGAAAAACGGGCCTTTTGGAAATACCGGAAGTGCCCAAAACAGGCCTGTTTTCAGCCTCCAGAGGCTTCCCTCGAGCCTCCAGGAGCGCGAAAATCACCCGCGGGGTCCAGAGGCCCCCCGGAGGCTGAAAACGGGCACTTCCGGTATTTTTGGAAGGCCCGCTTTTTGGCCTCCCGAGGCTGCAGAGGCTTCCCTCGAGCCTCCAGGAGCGCAAAAAGGGGCTGAAAATCAGCTGGGAGACGCGCGCATGAGCAGTGCAGGTAAGGGAGCGGGGGTGTTGCGTATGCATGCACGGGGGGGGCGCATTGCACTGTGGTACCAGCACACACACACTTGCAGCACACCACAACAAAAAGATTCGCCATCACTGACTTACGCCATTTCAGATTCACTTCGTGCCTGTTTGAAGTTACAAAGGCACGGGAAAAAAGTGACTTATGATCATTTTTCACACTTATGACAGTTGCAGCATCCCCAGGGCCAGGGAATTTACATTTGGACCCTTGACAATTGACTCATACTTACGATGGTTGCAGCGTCTCGAGGGTCATGTGATCCCCTTTTGCGACCAAGTGCACAGGGAAGCCAGATTCACTTAACAACTGGGTTACTAATTTAACAACCGCCGTGATTCACTTAACAAACGGGGTGTCATGCCCCTGTCAGAGGCTGAATCTGAGGAGGAAGACTAACAGCTGACAGGGAGCGGGAGTGTGGCTCCGTTGGATGTGGGAGAAAAGGGGGAAGGGCAAAGTCCGTCTGGGCAGAGCAGGAGAGAGGGAGAACAAGGGAGAGGAGGTTCAGTGGAAAAACCAGGCCCACCCCCTCTTCATCCTAGGGCATGCAGGGAGGAACGGAGCAACCTGGGTTGCGTGGCTTACGGGGGAAGAAAGGGCCCTGATTCCCTCCATTAGCTACAGCTGGGAACACCGTGTTTAAAAAGGGAAGCTGCGCACAGCAAGCTGTTGGGAGCAAATCGTGAATTATCTGGTATTGTCGAGTGTTCCTGGCATCTTCCCAATGGTGTGTGTTTTGCTGGCCTTTCAAGTCTGGAATTCCTTCTCCTGCCCCTGTCAAGTTAATTGTTATAGCGTGGTTTGTGTGGATTTTTAGTTATAGTTTGTGTGTACTTTGTTTTCGGATTGAATTTTCTCCATTTAAAGGCTGTTCCTGAGAGAGCTTTTTCTCCAGCCGAAGGTAACCTGGACATTGGGGGCAAAGTTGGGAGATAATTAAAGGGGCTCTTCTTGCTTATTTGACTGTGTTGCCTTTGTGCCGTGCTCCGGGTCATCACACGGGGCAAGAAAAGTCATAGATGGGACAAAACTCACTTTGCAAATTTCCCACTTAGCAACTTCAATTCCAGACTCGATTTTAATTGTAAGTTGATGGGCTAAGCTGTACATCTTTCTTATTCGTATCCATTTCATGTATTCATGTTTATACTTATGCCTGTTATCTAATAATTGCTTGACAAAATAAAATAAATAAACAAAATAAATAAAATGTTATTCAGAAATCTGATAAGAATTTCTCCTTCTCAAATTCACTGGCCGAAAGAAAACTTTCCACATGGAAACCAGCCACAAAAACGAGCTTTCCTTCATGGTTGGACAAACTCACCATATTCTTCCCGAAGGTGATCAGGGATGTGCGGCTCAAATCCCTCTTTCTCAGGCACCTCCACAAACTCCTCTTCCTCCTCCTCCTCCTCGTTTTGACTTTTCGTCTAGGACAAAGAGTTAAAAAAACGTTCATGACACCACGGAGGGGTGGGAAAATCTCACCATCCATTCTAGCAGAGGCCACGGGCACAACGTTGGGTGTGTTACTACACTCAAAAATGTATTTAGTATTTATTTTCTGTGGCTCCCTTCTGGCAGGAAGTTCCCAAGGATTTCTAGCAGGACTTCCAGATTCTCTAACCGCTTTGGTTCCCCGTGCCACTCGTCTCGTAAACTTGCAAGATGTTCGTTTCTCTCGCCATGTACCCGTATACATCTGAATTAGACTGCTGTTTCTCCGTGTCATATAATATATGTGGGTACAGGCATAATTTTGCATTTATTTATTTGGTCATGACTGTCAACTCGTAAAATATTTCTAGGGTCTTTTTAGAATTGCCAACAGAAAGGAAGGGGGGAGCAGTGCGGCAGCTTGCAAACTGAAAGTGCATTCCATAAATGTTTTCAAAGATAATAAGTAGGTGACTGAAGTTTCTACCAGTGCAAAATTCTAACTGGGGACCATGATTGATGGCTCTTGGCTATGGATGTGTCCCATTGGAGAATATGAATTATGATACACGCAGGGGGTGGGGGGAAACCAGGGTCAAGGGTGACAATGAATTCTGCGTCTCACAGTCGACTACACCCAGGCAGTGCCAGCATGTTAACTCCCAATAAATCCTTTTTAAGTTTTGGAAGTTTGGCTCCAAAAGTTTGCCGGAATCCTGACAGCATTCATGTAATATCATTGGAGATGGTGAACCCTTTGAGAGCTGCATGCAATGAAATTTCATTTTAATGTATGCCGATTAGTCTACATTCAAAGGGACAATCAAGTTATTCTAAGTTTATCAATGGAAGGTTTGGCCTCTCTTTTCATTTCCAAGATTAACTTCCATATTGTTCTGACCTAAGGCTTCCTAAGACAGTAACAACCACATGCTGTTCCCAAAAACCGTTTTTTAAAATTATTTCAGTGGCTGTTGAAATATATGCATTTACAGCCCGTCATGAGTCCCAAACAGTTTGTGAATAGTCCCACAGAAGTTCTGCCACAGTCCTTCAGGATAAGGCTGACAAGCACCCACCTTTATCTCCCTTGAAAGGCTGCCAAGGACTAAATTGCCAATCAGTTGTACGAGGCCAAATGGAGCACAAAGTCCACACAGAGCTTCAAGGTTTCAAACTGACCAGAACGAGCAAAGTTGCTTCCTGCAAAGGCTCGTGTCCCTTTGCTCTTCCTTTATGTCTTATGGGAGGGGCCAATCACCTCCAAGCCTTACTCCCGAGTCGCCCCTTTTGTCTTAACTGTTCTTGCCTTCTAGCAGTTCTGTGCATGCGCGCACTGGGAACAGGCTCCCTCTGTTCCTCTGCCTCACTGATGTCAGATTCTGGAGGCTCCAGAGTTCACACGTAACTCCCAGATGGCCCTGGCCCCATCTCTGTGTCAGACGCAGATCCCTCGTCCGAGCCCTCTCAGAATCCAGGACTGGCCCCTGTTCCTCCCCACTGTCCAACTCTGTTGCCGCCAGCGGACCACAACATATATTACAGGCAGTCCTTCCACTTACAACCATACATTTAGCGATGGCGCTGAAAAAAGTGACTTACAATTGCTTTTCACACTTATGACCATTGCGGCCTCCCCATAGTCATATTGACCAAAATTCAGACATTTGACATATTTGTGATGGTTGCAGTGTCCCAGGGTTACGTGATCCCTTTTTGCGACCATCTTGATAAGCAAAATCAATGGGGAAGCCAGATTCACTTAACGACCGTGTGACCAATTTAACGACTGCAGCGATTCACTTAACCATCTATGTAGCAAGAAAGGTCGTAAAACGGGGCAAAACTCACTTAAACTGACTCGCTTAGTAATGGAAATTTGGGGCTCAGCTGTGGTCATTGTAAGTCGAGGAGTACATCTGTACGGAAAAGCACTACAATCTGTTGGCCCATTCACCCAGGAGGGGGTTAGAAAAATATCAGGGAAAATGAAAGCAATACCATACTGTATATCTTTTAATGAGAGATTTTAGGTTTGATCCAATAGGTGTCATGCCCCTGTCGGAGTCTGAATCCAAGGAGGAAGACGGACAGCTGACAGGGAGTGGGAGTGTGGCTCCATTGACGGTGGAAGAAACTGAGGAAGGGCAAAGTCCAGCTGGGCAGAGCAGGGGAGAGGGAGAACAAGGGAGATGGAGTTCAGAGGAAGACCCAGGCCCACCCCCTCCTCATCCTAGGGCACGCAGGAAGGAACGGAGAAGGGAGCAATGTGGATTGCATGGCTTACAGGGGAGGGAAGGGCCCTGATTCCCTTCATTAGCCACAGCTGGGAATGAGAGTTTAAAAGAGATGCAAGCAGAGTGCAGCTGCTGTTGGGAACAAATGTGAGTTTATCTTTTGTTGACTTTGATTATCTGTGTTCCTGGCGTCCTTCCAACTGTGTTGAATTATAGCCCTGCCTTCACGTCTGGAATTCTTTCTCTTGCCCTGATGGATCAATGACCTCATTTTGCCTTGATTGGACTTATAGTTACAGTTTTTGTTGACCATGTTTTGGACTTGATTCTCTGCAGCCAAAGGCTGTTCCTGAGGGAGTTTTTCTCCAGCCAGAAGGTAACCAGGACATTGGGGGCAAAGTTGGAACTAATAAAGGGATGATGATCTGACTGGGTTGCCTTGGTGCCACGCCCCTTTGGGTCATCACAATAGGGTTGTTCTTCAGAGGGAGAGGGGTGGCATATAAATTTAATAAAGAATAACGTTTGCTGTTAAAACTAAGCATATCAACGTAAGAATGATTGTTCTTCCCTCGCTTCAGTCTTTTTTTTAAGTTTATTTTTGAAGGAAATGCTGAGAAATCTCTGCTTCTCTCAATGAAAAACAACAAAAATTTAACAACTAGGATATGGCAAGAACAGGGGGGCGGGGGGACGACCCTAAACCTTTACATCATTGTGTGATGTTTTACGCAATCTCCTTGTGGCAGCCGTGTGGGAAAGAATTACAGCCAACATCCCATTTCCCCAGAACCTAATAACGCCTTCGGACTCAAGAAATTACTGGAATTACAAGAGGCAGACTGTAAATAGATAAAATAAATTGCACATTAAAAGTTAACTGATTCATAAATTTTATACTCGTTATTGCTATTTTTATGAACTGCCAAATCTCTTTACCATAGTTATATTCTGGGAGGGGAGGGAGATATTTTTCCAGGATAGGTAAAATAAGTGGGTTTTTTTTTTTTTCAAGAGGCAACTGGACTTTCTGGTTTTGCTTTGAAGACATTTCGCTTCTCATCCAAGAAGCTTCTTCAGCTCTGAAAAACTGAAGAAGTTTCTTAGATGAGAAGTGAAACATCTTCAAAGCAAAACCAAAAAGTCTGGTTGCCTCTTGGAAAAAAAACCACCTTTGGCACATCCAGGACCTGCAGGATGTAAAAAAGAAAAAAAGGCATATTTATAACAACTAATGCTATAGTCTCCCTTAACATATTGTATATGCCTAGGAATTATCCCTTTTTAAAAAGAGTCTAACTTTTATTTGAGATTAACTTCAGATTAGAGTTCAGGGAATTTTTTTAAAAGAAGCCCTGCAGTTTTCAATCTGACGTTAGGGAAATTCCTGTGCAATTTCTTTGCAACAATGCAATTGTGCCAGTGATCCCTAACAATGAGAAGTTTGCAGGCTGTGTTTTTGCAAAGGGCGCTTAAAACTTTCACTTCCAAAAGAGAGAGAGAGAGAAAGCCTATTATGGTTTTATTTTCTAAAACACTGAACCCAATCCAATAACCCTTCAGCAAAAATTCACCGTTGGCTTGAAAAAGGTAGAGAGGACCCTTTAACTTGGTAAACTGGAAGAAAATGGTTTCACCTGCTTATGAAGGGCCTTCTCGTCAGCCCATTTTTGACCAAGGAGAAAACCCAGCTTTTGAATGTAATGCTAAAACACCACTGAACTTTTCCTGCAGGTGACTGATGGGGTATACAAATCCTCAAACCTTTTCCTTCCTCTGAACTTTAACCCTGTGCTTGTGAGCAGGGGAAGAGAAATGAAAATGTAAGTTTTGGTTCTTGATCTTGATATTTTTAGGATGCTCCGCTGGATAGGACTGGTGCACGCTTGAGTTCCAGGGAAGAAGATAAAAAAATTAGGAAGAGTTTGGTGGCACCCACAGAGAAAGAAAGTTGAAATAATTTGAGTGCTTCTGAAGGCAACTGAGTGGGGACTGAAAGGAAGGCGGCAGATTTCCTTAAATAGTTCTTTGAATAGTTGAAATTAGACTTGGAATATTCTTGACTGGACACACAAGGAATTTGTCTGCGGTGCCGAAACTCTCAGTGTTCGTACAAACAGCAACGTGATAAATCGTAAGATGCAATCATTGATCATAAGATACAAACAAGTGATAAACCATAAGATACCAATAGGAGAAGGGACTAGGAAAGACAATACAGCCCTACTACAGTAGATGGGTATATGTCTTTAGGCATAAGACAGTGCTGCAGGGGTTAGGTGTTCAGCAGAGGTATAGCCTGGGGAGAGGAAACTATGATTTAATATTAAATAGGATTTAATATGAGGTTAAGCTGGAGGAAAAGTTAAAATGGAGTTTAAAAGTTTGCTGAAACTTCCCAGTTATTATTTTGCCCAGTGCCTAGAAAGGATTTAAGGCTCACAAAGAGGTCTCTCCCAATTAATCCCCAAGAAGGGACGTGTGTAAGATGAAACTGGGGTGACAACATTCTTGCACACTTACAGTCCAAGAGGCACAAAGGTTTTTTCCGGAGAGCGGAATAATAAGATGCAAATTCACTCTGTTTAGGCACAATCCATGAAGTGCACATTTAGTCTCTATAGAAAGCATTAATCACGGGAAACTGTAATATTTGTTATCAGTCCAACACTAATCAAAAGCCAAGCCTGTCACTTCCACTGACCTGTAAAACGTCCCAATTATACTCTTTGGAAATGACAGGAGCACTTAACTTC